CTTTAGCTCAAGTTTAAAATTGCCCACACACACAATTAAGTTCACCTCATCCCATGTATATGTATGTATATAGTTATTGCCATAAAGAATAAAAATTGGCTCTACTACATGACACAAATGTAGATTGTGGCAACAAGTTGAGCAATAGAAAACAAACTCAAGCTTGTATCAGCCAACATGGAGAGAATAATAAGAGATATTTTATCATAAAAACAAGCTTAGAAATTAAATACTAAATGAATTGGTGCTAAGTGACCCCTTGATGATACTCTTAAAAGAAAGATAGAGAGTCATTGGCTTATTTTCCAAGAAACCTCCACTACTCACACAACTCTTTATTTCCCAAAAGCATCTTAATGTCTAAACCTTCCATTGTAGCAACACTAACAAAATGATGTTAATGCCAAGGTCTTCACCCAAGAAATAGAGGTTACCAATTTGAAAAACATTGACCACGCTGATATGTGTAGTTAATCTCATCACACACCCAGTAGTGGACATCACAGCCACAACCACGTCCTTGCCTTTGTTCTTGAACATGAGCAGTAGTAACATTAACCTCCATCAAAACAGAACCATCTCCTACAGTAAGTAGGGTGAAGGATGTACAGTAAGAAGAGGCAATATCTCATAATGTTATATTAGTCAAAGAGTATCATTAAAGGTTGTTGGAACAAGTGTATGTATTAGTCTCACAAAATCTTGACGAAGTGTTAGCTATAACATTCTTAACTTCATCCATTTTAATATATTTGGCTTTACATGAAGCAAGAGGCTTAAGAAGCAAACACTAAATTACATTATTGATTCATATGACTTTTGACAAAAACAATGCAATTATTGAAAAATATCATCATAATCATTAATATGTCTAGATGCACATTTGAAGATATCTATGAGAATGCTCTAACCTGCATAAATGGTTATACTTAAACCATTATACCATTGTAATGCCATCCCTTGCAAACATGTGGGAAACTCAAGCAAACACTAATCATCATTCTAAGAATAGTAAATGGTCATCACCATAAAGTGATTGAAATAATGGTATATATCATCTTTAAGATTTCCATAGAAGAACTTTGGCCAGATGTGAGAATTAGTAATAAAAGCAGGAGGAATTGTACCTCGCATCATAAATACCATTATTAATTGAGTCTGATTGTTCAATTACACCCACATAGCATCAAATAATTATAATAACTGTTACTCTAGAGTCAAAGAAGGAGGAGGCTGTTACTTTACCATGAAACTGAATAAAAAGGAAAAAAAAAACAAAAGAGAAGAAATTAAATAAATTATAAGGAAAGTGAGATTTAGATAATGCAAAAGTTAAATTTAAACTAAAGGCCCAAATCTAAACACTCTTCAAGGACAATCAAAATTGCCACTCTCTTTCACCAATGTGAATATATACAATATAGAAATGAAATGTAGAAATGTATATATTAATTAGCCCAAAAACTCTAGTTTATATATAAGAGTGAGCGATCTGGATTGAAATCAATCCGACAGTTATCAAAATTCCACTATACTAATATTAATATATGGCATTATAGCTGTACATAAAGAGTTAAATTTAAATTTAATTTAGTTTTAAAAATATTATCATTACTAGAATGAAAATAAACTTTTTCACACAAGAAAAATTACTTATATATGAGGCCAGTAATAATCTCAGTGTTTGTGATATTAGCCAAAGACTGATCTCAGTGTATATGAAAACCATGACTTGGATGGAGCTTTCAATTTTTTTAATTGTATTTCTCACATATATAAGATCCCTAAGGTTGATATATATAGATTAGAGTGGCAAACTTCTCAGTGTAGAGATTGCTTGAAGTAACAACCAATTTTTCTTTCTTGCGATGAAGATTTCTGAAGAGCATGTTTTTTTTTCCTTCTTGTCCAGGAAGAGCTCCACTTCGAGATGTCGCGTTCTCAAACTTTTCCAGAGAGAAACACAGGAGATGATTAGATGATTGCAGACGTCTTCACTGTGCACACCTCGAAGCATGCCTGGAATGAAGAAAACACTTGGCGGAGGGAAAAAAAAACGAACGGATGAACAATGGGCTGCCAAAACATGTTTTACACTCTTTTGTTCTGGGCTATGGCTGTCTTGGCTGAGGGGGAGTGTTGGGTATAGCCAAGAGAACGGATATATAAGACAGAGAATGGAGCACCAAGAAACAAGCAAGAGTATATAGAGGGAGTGGCCAATCGACAAAACAGAGGATATTCTCGAGAATTCTAGGTGCGTTGGGCATGGCGGGGACATTGCCTTTGCCGCATTTTCCAAATTCTCCGGCACTTGGTGGAGCTTCTACGAGGTAGAGAATGGCATTTTGTTCCTAACAGACTATAAGAGCCCAAAGTTGATTTACAGGCTATGCTGCCAAAGGAGGGATAGTGTTTCCAGATCCTCCATTGATACTCCTGCCAATGCCAGACTTCTCACTGGGTGTAGAGATTCTTTCAATCAGCAGCCAAATTTCTATCTTGTCCGCGAAGCACGGTCCGATGAAGATTTCTGGGTAAGTGTTTCTTGGAGCAGCCTATGTCTAAGTTTTTTCCTTCTTTGTTTTAAACATTTCCAGACAGCTTCCTGGCTGCGTTCTGAATGCTACTTTGAAGATCAAGGCTCTGATCGGTACACTACATTTCAAAAGAAAGAAAAAACACCAAATGTTCTCTTTGCTTTTTTTTTTTTTTTCCGCTGTGGCAGCTTCGTCCAAAGCTACAAAAAGAAATTCTCCGAACAGGTGATATAGTTTATAGCCATTGTTTCTTGAAGCTTTTGTGGCAGGAGTTCATAACTTTGAAGCGACGCTGCGCTGGAAGATATGGTAACTGCTTACGATGCACCTGCTTGTTAGCGGTAAACTCTAGAGCTCTTTCGTTCTAGCCTGTATGTAAGTATCCTCTCATGCCAGGTCCTTAACGATGGATCATCCCTGCTCAATCGGGTCATTGGAACAACGGACTTAAGCTTGCGTCAAGCTTTGCCAACAGCACAGCCCAGAGTACTGGATCCGTTCTTCTCCTATGTGTGTGATTCCTTGTTTGTTCCCAGGATGACTCGAGGACTCTTGGCATTCAAACCCAGCCTTATGGCTACATTGCAAACGTATGCGTGTCGAGAAGCCATCGGAGAAGAGGAGTTGCCTCCAGTTTGCTTGAATCCGCTGTGCAAGTAGCCAAGTTTTGGGGTTGGATCCTTTCTTTCCTCCTGCTACCTCATAATTCTTCTTCTCGTTCATCTTTCAGGATTGAAAAGAGTGTATGTTCATGTCGATTCTGGTAACAAAGCTGCAAGGCTGGTCTATCATCGCCAAGGATTTCAGGTAAATATTGGCTCTAGTTTTTCACTTCTTTTCCCAAACTACAAACTTTCTAGCTTGTACAAGCGCGAAATCCCGATGATCACATCTTGCTGCTTAGCCTTGAGCTGTAAAACTTGAGGTAATACACATACCATAAACTTGAGCTTTCTCTCTGCTCTAACATTGTTTTTCAGTCCAGTAATGTCACATCCAGTCCATCCATTCGAGATCATCTCGCGGCTGCAATGCCTCCACGTAGTCGTAGGAATGAAATAGGGCGCGGATGTAAATTTCTCGCGTGGAGAAGCTCGCGTTTTCGTCAGATCCGATCTGAAGAGTTTCCAGCAGCTCCAAAAAATTCCGGATGGTTGTTTGCAAATGCCGAGCGGTAAGCTTTTGATCCTTCTCTCTTTTGATTCTTTGTAGCTAAGATTTATAGATGCTTGATCGATTTGATCGCTTTGGTTCGTTTCAGTCGACCAGGCTCTATTGTTTCGTCCACAAAGTTCCAGTGTGCTCTCAATGCATTTGCTTCCAGCAACATCAGCTATGCGTTGTAAGTTTCTAGCTTTTTTTCTTCGCAAGAACGAGCAACAAAACAATTTTTTTTCTCGTCGAAGGTCCGAACTTACGCGGAATGGGTTGTGGATGGAGATTATGATTGGCCTCCTCAGTGTAGTCTCTGCCAGCAATCGCTACTCGGTGCCGAGGGAGACGTGATTCGTCTCGGTTGCTTGCGTAAGACTTCTCTTTTTTTCTACGATCGTATCGCTCTGATGCTCTTCTTCTTTCGCAGATCTGCTGCACGGAGCTTGCCTGGAAACGCTCTTGACGAGTGGCGACTTGCATGGTTCTTCGCCGCATGCGTGCCCGTCCTGTTCATCTGTGGTACGCCGAAAGTTAGTCACAGATCTTCGAAATAAAACGTACCTCTTTTCTGAAAGGTATGGCCTCCGAAGAACTTCAGAGATCTTGGCACTGGCCTCCCTCTCGTTCTAAAGCAGGCAATCTCTCAGGTGCGTTTCTTTTTTTCCTTTCTGTAGTCGTATCTGTCGATGTTGCTTTCCTGTCAGACTAGTGGCGATGGTACTGAAAGCTTTCCCAAAGAAACTCGTGATCTTTCCCCGGAAACCAGCTCTTCGGAAACAGTGCTCCTCAGCGAAGCACCAAACCTCTCGTCCAGCGTTGTCGACATGAGAACCAGCCAGGAATTCGAGCACCCGGTAAGTTTTTCCTGTTCATTTCCCTGTGTTCTTCAAGTTTTCATGCCAGCCGAGCTCTGTACGCGACGAGAACGAGTGGAAGTATCGCCGCCGAGGTAACGAAACTTTCTACACTTTTCCACGTCCATTTCACTTGTCACGATCTCTGGAGCCGCGTGTGTAGGTCCAATGCACAGACAAGTGGCGAGGCACCTGCTTCCTCTCTGGGCCTCTTCTCGAGCAGCAACAACACTGCCTTTGACCACTGCCGAGGACTGTCGTCGAGCTTCCAAGGCCAGTACCAGCAAGATTCTCCTGTTTGTCGCAATCATGTAAGGAACTGGACCGCCTTGTTATGGAATGCTCATTAGAATCTTTACAGGTCCTGTATAGCAACAGTGGTCATGTTATACCAAAGAATCCAGCGATGAAAGGATAGAAACAAACTGATGCTAGACACACCGAGCTTGTGTAGACGATTCTCTTCTTAGAAAGAAAAGTCACTCAAAATCATTAGAACGTGGAAAAAGTAACAGTTAGCAGCTAAGAAAACCTTCTCAAATGTTGTTCTCGGCTGGATCCGCTGCTCCATTCTCACCACCTGGAAGATCGGCAAGTCAGACGTCTAGAAACATGACTGCTAGTTGGCAATTTCCTGGGAAAAGAAGAGAAAAGATCGGATTTACCTTCTCCATCCGAAGCACCATAGGCAGCTTTTCTGGAAGGGAGAGGCTGGTGGGGAGTAGGCTGAGAAGAAAAAAAAAAAAAACAGAGGCACTGTAAGCACGAGCAACATTCCCGGGACGAATGCAAGGAATTTGCCTGCAGTTTTGGACGAAGGGATTCGATCAAACTCTTTGGCTTCTGACCGACCGGTCCACCTTGCTGTTAAACTCGCGATTAAGAAAGAGAAAAAAGAAAAAGAAAAAGAGAAGCATGAATGCACCGCACCTTTCCAAGAGCCCAGTCCGCGGAATCGAAGAACGCTCGCTCGTGATCCTGTAGAGAAATGGGCAGCATTTTAGAAGAGAAGGAGAAGGAAATTCTCTTCTTCGTTTTCTTCCTTGCTTCAAGCTTTCTAGCTAAAGATCTCCTAGTTTTCTAGCAAGAAATCCTCTAGGGGGAGAAACAAACCATAGAACTCACCTTGGAAATGAGGGGTGGCTTCTTTGGTCTCAATCCGCCATATTTCCTCTTCACTGCGGCTTCCTATAGCAACAAATCCAAAGAGATCTCTCAATTCCCGGACAAGGACGATTAGAATCAAGCAATCAAAGAGACCTCCTCTTCCGGCGATGGCATTCGCTGCTCCTCGGCCGCGTGGCTCACAGCTGCCGCGTCTTCATCCTCTCCCGGCGATGGCCGCTGGCGCTGGCGCTGCTCTTCCTCGTCGCCGGGATTGCTGCTCTTGGCATCCATTTCGCGATTCCAACCGATCGGACCGGGCGACAACGCTGCGGCGCTCGACGCGATACTGCCAATCGACCTACCGTGACGCTGCAAATGCCCCAAGAATATCCCTGGCCAGTAGTAGAATATGCTGTTTACTTTGAAAAAGCTTTCTAGCTGGGCGATGGATCATTCTCATCGCTTCCAGTGGCGCATCTCTGGTAGAGCGCAGTCTCGAGCTCCATGCAAAGGCCCTCGAGCTGCCTAATGCTTCGCCGCAAGCGAGATCCAGCGGATTTGTTCCCGGCGTACGCTTGGACTGCATCGATTTCACTGTCCGCTACCAGGAGCGTCATCTGCGAGCGCACCGATCGATCGAACAAGTTGAGTTTCGAGGCAAAAGAATCGAGAAACGATGAGAAGTTTACCTCGGAGTAGACCTGAGAGATGTAGAGCTTGGTCTCGTCTTCCAGGCCCTCCTGGTCTCCCTCCGCCGCTCCTTGCTCTTGGTCCTAGCAAATCACACAGAAACTGGTGAGTTGACAAGATGGAAGAATAGCAAGCACTTCACCTTCCATATCTCTAGAGAATACTCGCTACAAAACTTCACACATTTACCAGGAGCTCGTCGTGGTATTCAGCATTCAGCACCTTCTCCAGTACCAAGATCCTCTTCCGGAAAAACTCCATCGTCTTCCTCTGCAACTGAGCGTCCATGGCGTCCCTGTGCTCGTCAGAGTGTGGATCGCTGGGCTTGGCCGCATCCTCTTGCTTGTCGCCTGTGAGATTCTTGTTTTCTGGCTGAAGAGGTATTGCCTCCACGCCTGCGTCCTGGTTTAAGTCCGTCGTTGCTGGCGCGCTGGAGTTTGAGTTCGGAATGGACGAAAAGAGTTCCTGGAACAGCACTGGTTGCAGTCCATACTCTTCATCTTCGCAAATTGCCTGCCACCTTCCATATCCATGCCTAGAGAACAGTCCAGTCTTGAGCTGAGCTCATAGGTGAAAGCGAGAAGGTGATACATACTTGACAATGCCTTTCAGTAGCTTGCGGTCTTGCTCTTCTTTCCAAACTTTGGTCTCTTTCAGGGCCGCGTATTTATTGTAAGCGACGCTGGGGAATAGCGACGTGGAAGGATTCTCGTTCAGATTTTTCACCTGTTAAGGACCTTGTAAGTCGACAAGATAGGCAGCATTTTCCATGGGTACCTTTTCCCAGATGAGATGAAGAATCGCGAGCCTCACAAACACGTCCTGTATGCGCAAGCCTTCTTTCGGAATGCCGTCTGAGAGCCGTAAAACTCAGAAAAGCAAAAGGAAATGGCCGCACAAACTTTTACCTGAGAAAGTTGGAATGTCTGTCTGCTCTTCCGTTACATGCATCAAGAATAGTGCAGCATATCTACACACAGCAAAAAAGGTGAGGATTGCAATATAAGAAACGCAACGTACTCTTTGATCTCATCAACAGTTTTATGCTTGAAACAGGAGACAAACTCTGACCAGCTAAAATCGCCGAATCCGAACCTGGAATGCATTGTAAGTAAGAAATGAGCCGTCTAAGAAACGTGTGACAATACCTCATCAACACTTGCACAAACATAGCTCGCTGCTTCCGGTTAAAACCGAGGATGAGAATCGATTTTCCTTCTCCCTCCATAAGAGGAGGCGGCCCTGTAGCTTCCACTGACGGACACAAACAGCTTATGAAATCAAAATCTTTTCTGTCTAAGTGCATACCGCGTGGTTTTTTCCTTGAGCCAGGGGTTCTTTTAGCGGCATCTTTGCTAACCTCAGCTTCTGGCTTATTATCGTCTTCTTCTTCGGAGCTAGTATCGGACATTCCAGCCAAGTCGTCCTCCGCAGGAAAATGGTTAACCTGCAGTAAGATAGTTCATAATACTTTCGACGAGAAAAATATCTAGGACAAAAAAAGAATCGGCAAAGACCTGCTTGCGGCTTCGTTTCCCCTTTCCCAGTTCCTCCCGAGCTCGAGCTTCGTATTTGTTCTTCAAAAGATTTTCCCAGTATGTAGTCCTTGCGGAAGGATCCATGGTTTGAGATTCGAAATCCGCTTCTGCCTCCTTTTCTTGCTCAATGGCTTCGGCTGCCTTCGCATCCCCTTGATTCACGTATTCAAAGTTTGCCACCTACAGAAAGATGCGTATCAGATAATCTGTTAGCAAGAGTAACGGAGCCAAACCTTGAAAGCTTTGAAAAAGCTGTTATCCTCGTCAAGCTCTTCTGTTTCCTCTAAAAGTGACCGGTCCAACAATCTGCTACAAATATTTATACTAAGAAACAATAACAATGACAATCTCAACCTGTCAATAGCAGAATCATCGTAGTGAATTTGCCGCAGTTTTGCCTCCTCTGCTGTTTCGTCCGCAAACAGCTCCTTCGCACCATATCTTAAAATGTCATCTAACTCCTCCTGAAAAGCTTTCGAGTGTCATGATATATATATACATATATATTTTTTCTCGTGGCTCACCTGATTAAGAATTTGAGTCTTCATGCGTCCAACCACAAGATGCTCAAGCACCATCTTCTTCTTTGACAATTGCATCATCCTTTCCTCAATGGTCCCTCTCGTGATAAGCCTATAAATCATCACCTGCAAGCTTCGAAGGAAACATTGAGAGCCACAATGAGTGGTAACACCAACCTTGCTGGTCTGTCCCATACGATGTGCCCGAGCCATAGCCTGCATGTCAGCATGAGGATTCCAGTCACTGCCAAAAAAACTTTAGTCCTTTTTATCTGCTTCCAAGCCTATTGCACCTGTCATATATCACCACGGTGTCGGCAGTAGCCAGGTTAATGCCCAATCCTCCAGCTCGCGTGGAAAGAAGAAAGCAAAATATTTTGGAGCCTGGCGCATTGAATCTATCAATTCGACTTTGCCGATCGGCACCAGAGACTTTCCCATCGATCCTTTCATAATTCCAGTTCTACAAAACAATAAACAATTTTAAAAACAGAGAAAAAAAGAAGAAGAACAAGAGGAAGAGGAAGTAAAGTAACCTTGTAAGCAAGCCAATCCTCCAATATATCAAGAACTCTCTGAAACTGAGAATAAATCAATACTCTGTGTCCTTCGGCTTTTAGCTTTGTAGTCATTTTATCTAGAAGCAGCAGTTTGCCAGACGCCTCAACTAGCGTTCTAAAATGAAAGAAAGAAACATCAGGAAAATCGTAGAGCTCAACAGAGTGAAGCTTACTTTTGAACTGCGTCTTCATCTTCCGTTTCTTCTTCGACTCCATCTAAGAGAAATGGATGCGCACAAATCTTCCGAAGCTCCATGACCAAGTTGTTTAGCGACACCTGCACCATTGCACTCGTAAGAAGAATACAATATATGTTCTTCCAACCTTACTTGTACACCACTATGCCGTGATAAAACTTCATAGTTGCGAGTAAGCACCGCCCGATAGTAGTCTTTTTGTATGGCGCTGAGCTCCACACGAACAATTAGCTCTTTTTTTGGAGGAAGCTCCTTCAGCACATCCTTTTTAACCCCTGCAGCAAGAATTGCAGTAAGAGTATGACCACTTCCGAATTAAACACACTTCTTAGTAAATGTGATGATAACATGGTATGCAGCCGCTGGACTTGCTCTTCATGGTTGATATCTTTAAATTCGAGTTGAAATTCTTCTAGGCTAGAAAACTGCAATGGATAGATATAATACGCACATGAATGACAGTTCTCACAAACCTTGCTAGAATCCAGAAAATACATCAATGTAAAAAGTTCGTCTAAATTGTTCTGCAAATCAACAAAAAAGTGTTGATGTAGATATAAAAGTTGAGACATCTATATATACCTGTAAGGGAGTTCCAGTCAGTAACACACGGCTGTAAGTAGAATAGTTGTGTAACGTCTGAAAAAGTTTGGAGTCCTTGTTTTTAAGTCGATGTCCTTCATCAACAATCTGCAATATGCACGTCAAGTTTTGACCGAAGAAAAAAAGAAACTTACAAGACACTCCCACTTTATAGGTTTCAAGACCGCACTGTCAGTGTTCACCATTTCGTAAGATGTCAGAAGCACGTTAAACTTTACCCGCCGTTGCCTGCTAGCATTCTTCTTTCCTTTTTCAGGTTTTCTCTCCTTCGGAAGAAAAAATTCCTTCTGTCTAATGATTTCTCGTGCTTGGGCAGATCCTATATACGTGACCTGGTTAAGAAGGTTAAGCAAGAATACCGAGAGTTTTCTTGAAAACTTACAATACTCATTTGTGGTGCCCAAATTGAAAACTCACGCTCCCAGTTTCGCAGCGTTGAGAGTGGTGCCACAATCAAATGTGGTAATGAAACACCCTCGTGCAACAATGATGTTAGAAAAGAAATCGTCTGTATCGTTTTGCCTGAATAAAAAAGCATTACATCTTTCAAAAAAAAAAAAAAACTGAGAAAAAAAGTAGTACCTAAGCCCATTTCATCCGCCAAAATAACAGGCTTTCCCTGTTGCCAGGCATATCGCAAGAAGTTGAGCCCTTCCAACTGATAAGGATGCAAGACACCTGGAGACAAACGCCAAAGTTCAAATCAAGAGCAAACTTCGCAACTTACGTACCTCCGACCACGAATTCTGGTGTTTTGTCATAAGGAGTAAAAGCTTTCTGACGCCTTTTATCATGATCAACATCCTGGTATTCTTCATTAGTCGAGGCCGCTTTGTATCTTTTTATTTCAGCCTGAAACGCGACAATGTCATCCTCGGTCTCCCAAGTACATTCTTCGTACCCAAGCTCTTTCCATTTCACCAGAAATTCATCTTTACCAGAACGCTTCCTAAATCATATTCCAGATCAGTAGAGAAAAAAAAACCTTTTTATACCTATAGTCGATGATTCTATCCACCGTAGTCCATTCCGGTTTGACAGGAACCTTTTCTTCCTCATCTTCTAGTTTCAATTCTGATTGCCGATTAAAATTCATCAACCTGAGCCGTATTCCTGGATAAGACTTTATTGCTTTGTCTAGAGCGGCCTGTGTCACCCTTGAAGATAAAGAGGAGAAAACAAATGACACAAAGAAAGAAAGAAAAAACGACATACATACCAGGAGCAATGCATGTAAGACTTGGATTTCCACTTGACCAAGTAATGCTTGGTGGATTCTT